CCGATTTTCAATTATCATTATTATCGTTGTTGAAAACAATATTTATTTTTCTAATAMATTTCTGGCCGCAGTAGTAGTCGTATTTGTACATGTCGTCTGGAAGAGCTGCAAGACGATCATCTGTGTGTAAAAGAGTTTTTCGTAAGTTCAAAAAACCATCGCAGTTGTTGCTTCTCGATGCAATAAATTTTGCAGGCACGACGTGTAGACACGTTTTTTAGTTTAGTGAGCAGATTCAATAGACCCGTGACGTATTATCATTATCGTGATATTGAGTTGAAAAATAAATATAATAAATTGTGGCATCAATCCGTGCTGGAAATTCCGAGCGGAGTTCTCCCCTGTGGTGMAACCGCTGTGCAGCTGTACATGTCTAAACAAAATGATAGTATTGAAGCTGTGCAAAATAACTTCTTGCGATTTATGTCTTTTAAATTTAACATACATAGGCCACCACATGGTTCATACGATAATATTTTAAATTATTTAAATCTTATTCCACTTAAAACTAGACGTTTACAACTGATYTTCATAAATTAATTAATGGCTTAATCGATTGTCCTGATTTACTTTATTTGATCAAATTTAAAATCAATTCCTTTAATACCAGAAATCCTGAACTTTTTTATCCTATCCATTCTGATAAAAACTATATATTAAATAGTCCTGCAAATCAGTTAATGATTGCTGGAAATACTTATACTTTTAATTTTAACTAGTTAAGTTCATTTTGTATTGTCTAACTTTATCTCTATTATTATTATGTTTCCTGGATAACACGTAGTTTTGTAATTATTATTCATATTGATTTTTGTATATTTCTCATTGTATACTTTACTAATTAATAATTATCATAATTGTAAACCCTACTGCTGTAATTTAAACCATTTGTTTAAGGACTTTGTCCGTTTAATTATCATAAATAAATAAATAAATAATATATATTATATGATTCCAACATTATTCGAGGTGGCGCGTAAGTTGTGATTTGTGCGCAAGCGCGGTTCATTACGCTAATGGTAAAATATCGAAACGTGAGCGTATTTACCAAACCGCGTGCAATCGTCATGTGCCCGATGGAGGACCGATCGCCGTCAAGGGTGGTGGTGCCAACGCGTGCGGTGTAGCGTGATGGTGTTCGTCTGCAGAGGGTTTCCGTATTTATTCCTTATTCGTGTTATCGAATCAATTTAGTTATTGTTGTTGTTGTATAATAATGGTAGGTGTAAATAGGTACGGAAAAAAGTCACTAGACTTCGCGCAAAACCGATCGATTTATTCAAATTTGAATGGCTCTCATTCAGTCAATTTTGGTTTTAGAGCCATGGTTGGTTGGTCAAAATGACTTAAAAAAATTCAGTTTRTCCGAATTTGGTATTAAAAATTTGAAATTTATCTGAAAATGTGTATTTATATTTTATATACCACTGGTTTGTAAAAAAAATTCTTTTTTTTCCAACATAATCTGGCCGAGAAATTCAGTGTTCCCTAAATTGGTGAACATGCGGTATATATATATATATATCATAGTGTAAGAGTTTTAACTGAAATGGTATATTAATGCTGTAATATTTAATTAGAATAATTAATAATAATTGTTGATGAAATTACCATAACTGTATAGCTTCAGTTATGTTATTTTATTGATCTTCGCGTATAATAGAAAGACAAAATCGTCGAGGATACAACACGATCGCACGATTTCCCGAAAAATATAGAAAAATAAAAATCGACGTCATTATACACTGCACGTGTATAGTATTCGATTTCGTGTTGTACGATTTTCAATCCACGTGACAGAAATATCAACGGAAGACCTCTAAAATATACATTACATAGGTATTATAGGTATATACATTTTATGTCGATAATATCCTAATGGGATATTATTTTCTACGTTTTTCTATTATTAAAGGTGCCGTATAGTATTAAGTTTATTTTTGAAAATCATTACATCCTTCAACTCGTACCTGTATTATATATAAAAAATATATATATCAAATAAAGCTGATTAGATCGGTTCCTATAACATTGTTTTTGTCTGCGATTTAACCCCAGGTATGTTTATTGCAACCTTTTAAAGTTATAAGTTATAATTATACCCAAACATGTTGTAAATTGATATACAAGTACAAAATGTATTTWTAATATTATTTATTATTAGTCATATAGGTACGAGTACAACAAGTCAAAGTATTTTTTATGAAATAATATAATTATAAAAAACCAACACGTTCAATTCCGTGGAGGGAGAGCATTGTTACTATATTACTATATATTAGTATATTAAGTTAACTCGTTTAACAATATAATAATAATAATAATAATAACGCGGGTGGGTGTAACCGTAGTGGTATAACAAGAGTGGTATCTTTGCCTCTGTATGTAGATTAGGTTATATGACCATCATACATTATTAAAGAACTGCGGATTTGGGTTACATGTTATGTAGCAGAGCTGTGGCTGCTCGAAACGACGATTATTATTATTATTATTAATATTATGATAATATGTTGTAGGTAGGTACCTACTACCTACCTGCCTTTACTTATATAGTTATATATTATTAGATTATTGTGCTCGCTGTGTTACAGTGCATGACGTGTGCAGAGCAATTTACTTTGCTGTTCAATATTTTATTAACGAGACCCTATTAAACACTTGCTGCAATGCCGCCGCTACCGGTTCGCATTACGCATTCAAAGCTATAATATAATATTGTCAAGTGGTTATTATTTTGATTAATATTTTGTTTTCGTTTAAAGTAACAATATTATATTGTACCAACAGGTCGCGGTTGAAAAAAACGGTATTCGTAAATGTGACACACACACAGTGCGGTTGGTAACGTTTTATTGGTGAAACAATTTTGACCTATATATCATGTCATTTTTCAAACGCGTTAAACAATGTAAAAGTGAATTAGAAGAGATTGTTATTATGATACCGACTGTGTCAATATTATTAAAATGAATAATAAATTTAATAGGACTTGATGTAGGTAGCGTAATACCATCAAGTGATAATTATATGGTAGTTAGGTACCGATTTAGCCATAACATTGGTATGTAATAAACCAATAAACTAATATCATATGAATGAGTTATKAAGGCAATTTATTTATAATACGATTTACTTATATATCATTCAAGTGTTATCGATAAATACTTTGAACCATCAAAACGAATAAAAATAATAATCTACTCATTCAAATAATGTCTCACCGTTAAACCGTTTATTAAATAATTAAAACGAATACGACGTAAAAATTAATTAATAAAATGTGTAATTATGCTATTTGTATTTTGTACTACCGGTAATTATTTTATACGCATATAATATATCATTAATATAAAATTATCTTCGTGTAATAGAAATGAATTACGGCAGTGAAGGCTATAAAAAATTTTAATTTCATTAAATTAATTATTAACTTCTTTATAATATTAGTTTAAATTTAAATTTTAAATTAATTGGTGCTCGTTATACCTTCTATACAGGTCGACATTATAATATTATACTGTAACACGACCACTAATCAATACGATTTAAGCACAAAACGGATTTTCTTTGCGAATTGTTTATACCATGATTCGTACAATTTACGTTTCAATTATAAACTTCGAATTGTATAATTAATATATTATATATAGAGAGAAAAAATTTAAAAATCACAAAACCACTTTGATGGGGGCTTGCGACTTAATTATTTTTTATTAGTTCTCAATTAAATCAAATGTAAATTATAATTTATGCCTGAATATATTTTTAATTCGTGTCTACATAAACGACCGTACATATATTATAAATATATATATATTGAACAAACTATCGGTATATAATATTATAGTTTGTATATCTGGTTTGGTACGTCCTGAAAAATAAGTTAAATTATTAACAGTAAATATGCTTGTTAAACTTAAAATTAAATGTTCCAAAGTTTTTTGGCTAAAACTATTTAATTTTTTTTTCACATTATTTTAGGACTTGTGTGTACTCATAGGAAACATATTAATGTTAAAAAAATATTCATGCGAAAAAATTATGATCTTGGATAAATTAGCTTTATACCGAGAAATGTTTTGAATTGCAAATAACACTTGTGGATGTCTTAGTGAGTTATGGGGCTTTCATAAATATATATTGTGCGTGTGCCTATATTGTGCGTGCGTGCGTGTGTTTGTGTGTTTAGACAATGCTCTCCGTGTATAAAATAATAGATGGTAAAAAAGTTTGCAGTGGTATTTTTTTTACGAACCCGTTATGAACCGTTATGGTCCAGTTGCTGCAGCAGTAAGGGTGTTTACAAATGGGCACGAAACGGAACAAGCTTTCGTGCAAAAATAAAGAGCAATGCGATCGAAAAGTCTAGAAAAAATAAAATGCTGACCCCATTTGTTAGATGGAATTAATTGTTATACTCTTTCTCGTTGCATATTAAAAAGTATTGATATTACACTTCGAAATCCAGCTCACTAATGTGCGTCATTTATCAATGGTCACTTAATATTTTATATTATGCTCTATAATATATTAAAATATTAAAGTCTATAATTAAATGATTTTTAGATTATTTTGGTACTACCCACCTATTTTATATTTATATGGCGATGACTGATTTTTTTCAAAAGGAAACAACTTTTTTACACAGTATATAAGTAAATTATTCTAGAAATAATATTATGATAAATAGGTACTATTTATATAACAAATAATACTTTAAAAGTAATTAATATTCACGGTAAATTCTGCTGTGAATGGTTAATTTGTATTTATTTTACAAACATATAAATAATTTATGTTTCAGAGCTGTAAAGAATACTTTTAAAAAGTATTTGAGTAAGTAAAAAATATATTGTTGAAAAAAGTATTTAAAGTAATATTCAAATACTTATTTATCCAACGTATTTGAGTATTACTCAAATACTTTAAAAATGTATTTGAAATACTTTTCAAATACTTATAAAAAAAAAAATATGTACAATTTATTCATCATTTTATTATTATTTATTATTGCATTGATTATTACATTTTAAAAACATTATTTGTTCAAAATGCTTGTCACTAATTGATGTTCTCTTTTTTGTTAACGTAGCTCCTCCTACACTAAATACCCTTTCAACCGAAGCACTGCTGGGGAGAGGTGTATTGTATTTAATAAATACCTGTCAACAGAAATAAAAAATTAATTAAATTTATCMTATTTATCATAAGAACCAAAAAAAATGTATATGTACTTTTTTAAGTATAGGAAGTGATTGCAAACAATCCAAGTTTTTTGTTGGTGAAGTCCTAAAATATTGATTAATTTMAATATCTACCGAATCTATACCATTCATATTGTTTGAAGAAGACCACGTAAAAAAGTCCAATGATGGYTCATCATAACTTTCTACAATATTAGGTTCTTGAGTATTGGAAACACACTCTTTTTCATATATTTGYAAACAAGCATTTCTAAATGCATCCATAGCCATTTGCTTTCTTACATCATTTTTAATCCATGCCACTTTAAAATAAGGATTACTCACTGATGCAATAATTAAAAACTTATTTTGTAATAAATCCCCAAATCTTTTATTAATGCCTGAAAGATAAATTATTTTGGTATTAACTTAGTATAGAAACTAACTTAAACTAACTTTACT